CAGCGCCCCTCGTAGTCAACCATCTGATATTGTTTTTCAGTTTGAGAGATAAAGGAACATGTTTCACTAAACTCTGCGACCCCTATATACTGTGATTTATGCACCTCTGCCCCTTACAGGTATCAGCTGCTGACTGTTTCATCCGATCCGAAGCGTGACTATGGTGACGTTCAAGCTCCCGATTGGTTGAAACTGTCAACAGCTGATACCTGCCAGGGGCAGAGTTGCGAAAATCGCGGTTTATTTATATCACTGTAACCAACTTTTCGCTTCCCCTGCGTTTAAATCCTAAACTCGCATCGCGCGCCCAACAATGCGACTCATCTCGGGGCGTCCGCTCCACAACCGGGAACGGACGGCGGTGACAATCTCTCGCGAGAGAGTGGAAGTGAGTTCCAAGCAAACACGTGGAGAGAGGTTCAATGATCATTAAATGGTATTAATATTTGAAGTTCCAAAACACGTCAAATCTATCATCCTGCTAGCCAACCTATTCACAATGATGTTTCATTGAAGCACAAAATAAACACGTCGTATATACTCGTAGCACTTCGTAAAAGTGTGCAAGAACCGTTTCATACGGGAACCCGTTAAAATCGTTCTGTGTTTCGTACGGGCCTAACACGCACACGGGTGGTTTCCTGCGGTTTTTTGAAGTGGGCATTGGGCGGGTATTTAGACCCCCAGGCCGTCCCACCCACATCCAACTCTCATCAACACAATTTATTGGATCTCAAAAGCCAAGCGTAACGAAACAAGTTGTAACTAATAGAAAATGTTAAAAATATAATTTGGCATGGAGAATTATTTTACCAAAATTGAATATAAGAAAAAAACAATATTTTTCGTTGTCACGTAACTTTCATGAGTCACGTAACTTTAGCACGAACTGTAATTTTTGAACGGCTGACGTTATTGCAATGCTGTTTTCAAGGAAGTGCTTGAGGGAATGGGGTTAATTGATGTGTGTATTTATTTCTATTTTATCACTTGTATTTTATGTGATATTTGAGGTAACTTTTTTTTCAAATAGAATTTTACATATTTGTTCGATTTATAATGAGCATAAAAAGACAAATCCACTGATATACATATTCTTGTATGTTGGATAAGCATTTTTTGGAGTTTTTTTTGTTTTTTTGTTGTTGTTTTTTTTTTTTTTTTGCGACTATTAAACGGATGCTTGAAATTAAGTCCACCATCCAAGGTCACGCGGTGCTCTCGCAGCGAACACGCGCTCTAGGCGTTACAATATCCGTTTAACTTGTAAATAGTCACAAAAACATCAAAATTACTAAAAAATATACTTATCTAACAAAACAAAATGGATATCATTGGATTCATCTTTTACGCTAGTCATGATAGGTTTAAAATAATTTGTATAGTTCCATTTGAGAAAAGCAAAGTTACCTCAATATCTTGTATAATACAAACCGGGAGAGATGGCTCAGGGCATCAACTGACGTCACTGCAGTCGCTTTGACCGAGGTGTCCAAGGTTCGAGTCCGACGGTGGCAGGATTTTCGCCACTAGCTTGACAGATCGAATTCAGTCGCTGTCTGGGGGAGATTTCTAGCGGCCGTCTGCTCTGATCGTGGTTTCAACACCAGGCGAATGCCGGAGCAATACCCTAACAAGGGGCCACGGAACGCGTGCAATCTTTCCACCCTCTCCCCCTTACACGCACACTACTAACACGGACTACATAAGTACACATGCCGGGAGACCGGTCGTGAGCTTAGAGCTTAACCTGACTGTAGCAGTGCCCTGCTGGCGAGAGATATCTGGTTAGAGAAAACTCCGTTAGCCCACAGTATGTCGGCGCCGGATCTCGCCATCCCGCAGGGGCCTCCTAAGAGCACCGCCACATCCCGAGCATAAAACATGCACTACACACAAACAAATTTCTTGTCATTTATTTTTTTAATTTTTGAAAGTAGTAGTGGAAGAACTCAATGGCCTGAGCTTTATCACCATTTATTTATTTAATTATTATATCATTATTTATTTGCAAGTGTGTTGCTAACTTCTCAATGCTCCTATATACCACACAAGCCTCTCAACATACAAGTTAAAGAATAAAAGTTATACATATTAACCACTTTAAATCCTAAACAAATAAACATTGAAAAGTATAGTGAAATACGTATTGGTGTTTTAATTGATATGAAGAATTACTTAAATTCATAGGCCCATTTTGTCACTCATCGATAGGGGCAAATTTTTATGACCTAAAAAATCTTCAAATATGCTATTAAAAAAATCATTTAGGACCTAAAAATTCTGAAACATGCACTTTATTAAGCAATATTAACAATATTTCATTTCCTGTAATAACCTTTCTTGAGAAAATTCGGGAAACATGCTTGAAATAAAAAAAGAGATACTTTGTGCAAAACTAATACAATCTACCTTACTTCGCAGGAGAAAAGTGAATGAAATATTCACCTAAGTAAAGTACATTATCGTCTTGTTGAATTTCTTCTGCCTGGTTTTAAAAAAAAAATATTGAAAAATATCCTACATTTGCACAAGTATTTTATTATCTATAGAAAAAAATTCAAATTGTCACAAGCTCATTCTAATCAATGAGCACTCACAAATAAATAGTAGATTCTATGAAAAGATGAAACGTTTTACAGATAAGTCTCTATTTTAATGAAACTTGCAAAAATGCACCAATAATTACACAAATATGCACCAACACGAAAAATCGGCCAAATATGCCAAAATTTGCACCAACATGTTAGTCTACACAGCATCCAATACTACCAAAATGTCAAGAAATTTCACTTAGGTATGCCCTGAAGCAATGGAGAAAATGTGCAAAATCATAGAAATCCGGTCCCTACACATCAAAAACCTAAAATCACTCTAAATCCCAGAAATTACAAAAATTCTCACTTATGAATCTTGTCAATCAGACGCCCTACTTGCAAATTACATTCCTCATTGCAAATGGAGCATTCACAATGAAATGACAACTGCCCCCTGCTCCAACTCAAAAACTTCCATTTTTTGTTTATTGGTTAACATACATGTATGCAGCATGATACTCTTGCTTCAGAAGACTTCAACCCTACACCAACTGAGAAGCATATAAAACATTGCAAGCTGGTCACATATGATAGTTTTCAAGAGTCAAAACACCCAAACTCTTTGAGATGATTTACTTTCATTTTGAACGTCTTCATTTCAGTGAAGCTGTGGTGAAGATAGTGGTGTCGCAGCATTGTAATTATCAGAGAGGGTATGTTTTGTTTACAATGGCATCCACTGGTAATTTATCTGACAACAGATTACTATAGCCATTTTAAAAGGAAAGTTGAATCTTCAATATTCTATGGCATTTAATAAGATCTACACAATTTGCCCATACAATCAGTTACATAGAAGGATATTGAGCTTTAAGATATTAAATCAAAAGAAACCAACAAACTTACACCAAAAAGCATGTAGACACACAAGAGAAAAGGCACCATTTATTAATTCTAGATTCAGGGGAGAAAATGTTATTGCTAACAGGTCCCTTTACAAGGAGTCATTGCCCATAAAAGCACAAAAGCTATGTGATGTTAAGAAACTATCAAATATCTGAGCCCAAGACTTCTAGCATTTCTCAGAGTAGAAAGAGATTAATGTTATGACGGTGATGTTTATGCTTAACCAAATACCCAAAACCAAGTGCAGCCTTTTTCACTGCTTTTTAATTACATACTTTTGTTAAATATTGTCAAACAAAACATTTTATTGGATATCTTCCATGATATTTATTTAAATATTATTTACAAGAGTCATAATTACACAACTCCAGGATATTTATCATCTTTTTTTATCCTTCCCCATATCATAATACAATTGCTTGGGATCCTGTCAGTGATTGCAACACAATTTATAAGTAAACAATCAAACTTTATACTACTTGAAAAGACTTCATATTATATTAATGAGCGAGGGAAAACCATCCTGAAAACTGTCTTATTTACTTTTGCATTTATATATTTGAAATGTAATATTTTAATGTATCTGTCATAAACATAACTATCAACAACACAACCAATGATCTCCTTTCCCAACAAACAATCTCTTAACTTAAGGACAGTATTCTCACAATGTTATGGAATCTCTACTGAACATACGTGAGAAAAGCAGCACTTCCTATCAAGAATTTGTCACTCGCTTATCTCTTCACAAAAATCATTTGTGTCAAAGAACTCTTGCGGTTAAATAATATATTTAATTTCATATATTAAAATAATAATAGATTTTATCTAAATGCTATATTTGCCTCACACCATATGAATGAAATTCATAAAGAGAAAAATACACAACCCACAGTTGTTAAGAATTGTCTTCTTTCAAGGAGAGTACCAAAGTAAACACAATGACAACTGAAACTCATTTGAAAGTTGATGTCAAAAAGAAAAACACAAGAAGAAATAAGAATTTTTCACAGCATCACAGGGCCAAATAGCTATAATACACAATGGGGCAAAATGTCACTATTCAAAACAAAATTTTTAAAAAACCCTAGTATTTTTCATCCTCAATTCTTAAAAATCAATTAAAAACGGCATAGAGTTCACTCTGGTGTGCACCTGCATTATCACACTTTCAAGGAACACTATCAACAGCATTAGTAAACATAATACACTCAATCATAAAATTCTCCAAAAAAGTTACATTCGAAAGAAATGAGCATAAATGAATCTAAGAACTACAGAATGTTTTTTCACACAAATTACTACTGTTACAATCTATTATCTATAGTTGGCGAATATTTCTTAAATTTGGTGATATCTATATTCATTATCTCCCTCTTAAGTCACCACTTTTCTAACAAACTACAAGTGAAACTATTAAGAATATTTTACTATGTAATACTACAAGTCCACGGAACTAAAACAATTTCTAATTTACCGAAGAAATACGCTACCTTTCGCGGACAACAGACACAGAAGATTTGTTTCGTGACACAAAAACTGGAAAACATTTCTTACCGTTTAAACGATCCGGCTCCAATCCAGAATTCAGATCTAGACCACAAATAACAAAATAATCTGCAAATCTGTATCCGCTCTGATTTGCACGTGAATTCATAATTAAATTTGCAAACTTCACACACAACCTGCCAAACACATCACATTTTCACGAGCCATGATGCTCTGACTGCTTTGCTTTTCTGTGACAACAATAACAATGCTTATATGAAATTCTGGCTACTGTTCTAGTCACCTCTAACACAAATCGGACTGATTTTCACGCTTCAAGTTGTCTTGAAGTCACGGATGGCCATATGGACATTGATCTCCGAGTGCGTTCTCCGGTGTTCTCTGCAAGGTATGAAGCAGTACATACAAGGACTTTTTAATTTCTTTATAGGCGATTACTATAGAGAGTATTTATTGTAAAATACGTTGCACTAGCACAACAAAGATTATAGGTATATTTTCAGCATTACTGTCAAGTTGTTCAGAAAAAAATTTTCTTCGAATAAGAACATCCACATTTTCTCATTTACTTTTGCAAGAAACGATGATATGATAATAAATAGATGTTTCTTTTGACAGAATGCAATGCTCAATTGCAAATATAACCAATGATATTCAGAATTTGTAAGATAATCAATAGATTTCCTATCTTTTCTGGGCAATCGATCACTTCAATCGATAACTTCTTTACTTTCATATAACGCAAAGTTTCAAGTCGACTTCTCTCGATTCAGCGCGCTTGCAGCGCTTCTGTAGCTCATAAGAAGTAATTGAGAATACGCTGAACACGAAACATTGCGTGTTTATATTACTACTGAGGGTGAATAGGTTGTTTTTCTATGGTACCACTTTCATCTGTAGGAGGCAACTGCCTACCCTAAAGTAGCTTCCGATCAGCTGACAATTGATTAATTTTTGTAAATAAAAATAATAACCAATATTTCACAATTAAAAGCTTAAAAATTGTATTTAATTTTGATTGCAAATGCATTACATGCATTTAATCTCGCAGTATTAATTTAAAGCCGACATGGCTGGTCGAGGTGGCTAAGAGAGCGTACCGACTCAGCGATTCGGTCCGAAGGGCCGCATTCTGCTGACCCCAGATCGGAGCAAGTGTGTTGGTGTCTGGTCGAATATGCGACTATCATGCTTCAGGCCACTACGTAATATTTATATAGAAGAGAAAGTGTGTTCCACGGCGCAACTATGAATTCGGCCGGCCAAGAATGAAGCAGTGGCGAAAGCATGAAACAGTAGCGCTTCGAGCGTTATGTGACTATATAGTTTCAGTGGTTTTTAGTGCTGTGGCGGCTATTTGAAGCAGTTTCTTATGCGTTGATTTTTCTGGCAGTGAAATTCTTTCTAAAGTGTTGTGGTGTGTTTACACCAGTGTATTAGTTTTATTAATCAGTGTCTTTAAAAATTGTGTGTCATAGGAACAGTTTTTTGATAATGAATTTTAATTATGTTTACTTTAATTCATTTTTTTGTACAACATTACAGTACATGATGTAAAATTTAATGTCCGATGCTGTGGCGGATTAACACATGTGGTGCCCCTGGGCACTGCACTCCATGTGGCCCTTTTTTCTATTATTTAATATTCAATAAAGCTGACAAATAATTTATAAAAGTTTGATTAAATTAATAACACAAATTTAGGTAATAAAATGATTAACATTACAGAAAATCAACTAAAATCTCTTGCGCCTTGCCATCGGCCGTGGTCTTGCTGATTGAACAGACAATTGGTATATGAGATCATCACAGTTTATTAATTTTAAAATTTCGGATTCAATTCCAACAAAGTAAGCGCATTTTATCCGTGTTCCGTCGGTTTTGATATGATGTAGTTTTTACCATTGTTTAACATTGGTAAACAATGGTAACCAAAACAAATCGAGTAGAAAAAAAAGTATTTCTAAATAATTTTCAAGTAAATGCATTTATTAGCTACATCACAAAAAAATTATAAGCCCAGATTTTGAAGATTTGATTGAATAAAAATGAAATAGAATTGAAAAAATGTCAAGTTTTGGAGTGTTTAACACAATGTGTGTATCATTCTCTTTTTGATGTTTATCGATAGCATTTTTATGGTATGCAGCACTGCTTAGCTTGATTCGTTTTTCACTCACTGTTGCACATACAGTACAATTAAATAAAACTGTTACACTCATGTCACGTTTCCTGTAGTCTTCGTTTCGTTTTTATTTACTTTTAACTATATCCTCCAATTTAGTAAATCTCGATTAATGTAATTTCAACTACCCCAAGAGTGTCACAATCTCAATTAAAAAAACAGAGCGTTCACATGAAAACTCGGTTGACATGAAAAATTGACTACAGCGTTCGGTTTCGCGGTCAAAATAAATGTTGACTGCTATAATTTCTATAATTTTTAAAAGTTTGAGCTAAATATTTTTTTCAAAATGTTCTTTATACCTTAATGAACAGTTTCCTCAGAGGAAGTTGTTTTTTCCTCATCGTCGTAACACACAATGTTGAGTTGAAAATACGAATGCATAGATACGGACACAGGTCAATTGTTTCTTAACTATTAATTAAAAGTTGCACTTTTTTATCAATTGTGTTTAATCGTGGTCATGTATAGCTCAAATGTTTTTTGGGCAAACAAAAATTCAAGTGATTTTTTTAATTATTAACCAAGATAGGACGAATTGAAGTAAAAAATAGTTATGAAAATTGATACGATTATCTACGGTTTATAGTTTACTTTAATTACGGTAATTTAATAAATATGTGTATAAAAACAAAAAGATGCGCTCTGACATTCTGAATGCTATTATAAAATTAAAGTTAGGTAATTTTGTTAAAAAAAATTCCACGAAATCGTTATTCGCTGGCCAGCTGCCCGAGGACAAGTGTCCTCGTTGAACCATCACTGACAATTGTAATTCCTTTCAATAAATAATTTTTCGTATAAAAAATTGCTTTAAAGACAATTAGCCGCCCAGGGGCCAGCGCTCCTGTGCCCATGACTTTGCCTAAATCCACCACTGGTCTTATGATAAAAATAGAACATTACATTTGTAATTTGTCTGCTGATGGGGCCAACTATGAAATATAGAATTTGTTAAATAAAAAAGTTACGAAAGGTCTTGGAGTACAGAATTTGTTAAATAAAACATAATATAATTTGATTGCCAAAACTGTGCAACTTATAATTACACTAAATGATAAAATTGTCTATATTTTACGTATTCAAGGTTTTTTCTAGAAAGAATAAAACTGCCCTTGATGTAAAGAGCTCTTCATTTACCCTCTTTTTCTCTCTAACTCCTGTATATAATTTACATCCAATAAAGTTGGGTGGACATAAATATAGCGTTTTCCGAATAATTTTGCAATGTTATTGAAAAAAGAAAAATAGGTAATTATTAGGAAACGAATTTTCATGTAATTTCAAGTTTCTAGAGGAACAAGGTACCTGCATTCAATAATAATTTTTTTAGTTTACAAGACAATATGAATGTTTAGAATGTATTAGAACAATATTTTACATATTAGGTTATATTTTAAAATATTTATACGTCGAAACAATGCGTTTGCAATATACGAAGGTGATCCAGAAAGTAACTTACGTTTTAAAATTTAAAAAATCAACCAAATGAATCAAAGAAATTTTATTATATACATTTGAAAGAGACAATATGAAACTATTTCTCTACGTAATTGCTGTTTAAATTGAGACATTAATCATAACGATGCACGACCTTTTCTATTCCTTCTCTGTAGAAATCTACCGCCATAGGTTTCAACCACTGGTTTACATCGGCAGTCGAAGTTGTGTGTCTCTGTCAAAAGACTGTGCTGCGAGCCAGGTCTTCGTCACTGGAAAGAGTGGTCACTAGGCGCTAGTTTCGGGATGTACTGTGGGTGATCAAACACCTCCCATCCAAAACATTCCAGAAGCTCTCGGTACGCAAATGAACGTTTTTGTCGTGGATAACACTATTGAGCTCAGTTTTCTCCGACACTTTTTTTGTATCACAAGACTCAGTTTTGTCAAACCTTTGTCACGTCAAAATACCATTGTTAATAAGAGGCGTATCTAGGTATCCAGGCGCCCCTGACCAGCAGAGAATTTGGGACCTTCCAATTTCCAATTATGACCGTCATTATTTGTTATAGCAGCTATAATATAAATAGCGTCCCTTGTCAGTGGTATCCATGGCACGTGCCATGTCTGCTACACCGTAGATACGCCTCTGAAGTTAATTGTTGCGATGAATTTCATGGTTGGTTTGAGTCTTCTTGCCAGTACCTAAACCTAATCACTGAATGCAACTTACAAATTGCGGGATTTTCTATTTAATAATTCGCCACGAACTAAGTTGAAAAATCACAGTCCGCATATTACGAGAGCTTGGTGCATACTCAGTGAAGAAACGTTTTAACGCCAAGATGGCGGTTCTATCTCTACCCATCTCTACGCTAGGCACAAACGTAAGTTACTTTCTGTATTGCCGTTCTATGTTTTGGAGTCATCTCTTACTAAGAATGTAATGCTACCGCGCTTTTATGACTACCATATCTTCGCCATGCATTGTCAAACTTACCCCAATATTTTGTGCCATCGGGTACGTGATTGGCAGGAGGATCACCGGGTCACCGGCGTGGGTAAGGGTCCGCGAAACCTATAAATACCGGGGACCCAATGTGCTCCTCAAAACGATTTTTGTCAGGCTACTCGTATTATATTTGTTCGACGGGCTTCTTCTTCTAAAGTCGCGTTTACACTGCGCAAGCGAGCGAACAAGCGATTCTGAATGAAGGCACGTTCGTTCGGCGGATGATCACGGGGAAGACGTTACTACCCGTTTACACCGAGCGAGTTTGCGCTTTAGTGATTATTCTGTCGGCCATGTCGTTCTCTCGCAGAGTCAGCCCTCCCAAGTGCGGTTATTGTGTGTCAGTAATGTCATTGCAAAACGAAGAAGCTACTGTATTTACTTTTCAGAGTAAAAATAATAGAATATCGGATTCAATTTCTGAGAACTGGTTCATGAATTGAAAAATGTTACTTTTACTTGTCATTACTTTAATTGAATTTAATTGTTTAAAATTGTAGGTTATTATAAAGTTCTTACAAGAACGAAAAGAACTACAGATTTCTTGTATGTCCTACATTGCTGTCTTGGTCTGCGAAAAGGTCACACTTTCTCAAAAAAATGTGAATCAACATTTATCAAAACGTGTTAATTTACGTAAAAACTACATTAGGCAGAAATGTGTAAGAGCTGATCCAGCTAAATTAAAGTAATGAAATTAACATATTCTCAACAAAAACAAATATAAAGTACTTGATTATTTACGCCACAG